AATATTTGCAGTTGTTTTTGTGATATTTTCAATATCACATAATAGGTAATAGATAATAAACTTCTCAAATCTACTCAATGAGTTATTAAAAAACAAGAGCTTAGAGTTAAAACTCGAGAGCTTCTAAAGTATGGCATAGCTGCACGGCAGTAGCGCGGAAGACATCGACCGAAGGGCCGCGGGGCGAGGGATGCGGGGAACAGGAGCAGAGGGGGCTGCAGCCGGCGAGGCGATGGGCAAGGAGGGGGGCAGGTGAAGGCAGCGGCGCGCAACAAAGTGCCTTCCGGGAACCGCCACAATACAGGTTTGCGGCGACGTGCGATACCTTCGCAGATAGAGACCGGCCCAGGTAATGCACTCGGCCCTTTTGTCAACCGAATCGTCGCAACGAGGAACGGTACTCCGACCGCACTGACGACCCACTAGCTTAAGGTTTTTGCATCGGAAATTACAGTTTCTCGATGATGTAGTTAAGTAACAATGCATCATGTATTTATACATTCTTACTTTAGTATCCCACTACCTTTCGCACGCGACTCTGTCCGCATGATAAAAAAAAACAAATCAAGTAGCCTAAGTGTTTTTCCAGACTATGCGCTACACTACATCTATGCCAAATTTCATCGAGATCCGTTTAGCAGTTTAGGCTACAAACTCTAACAAACATCTATCTAAACTTCGCATTTATAATATCAGTAGTAGAACATTGTTAAAATAAATTATAGTTGATTTTAAATGCATATTAAAGAAGGTAATGCTTGTTAAGAAAAAATGTGTTGAATTAATAATAGTAAATTTTCTGAGAAATCATTCGAATTGTGCCAATGCATTGAAAATGAATTAGTGATAAATGTTATTCAAAATTTAAGTGTTTGTTTAAAGGGTTTTTAATTGTTGAGACAAGGTGAAATTTGACAAAACAAAGATTGTGTTTAAATTGTTTATTCTATAAAGCCACGTCTAGACAAATCAAACGGTGAAAAGTTGTGTAAAAGTAAAAGTGAAGTAATAAAATAAAATTCTCGGGCGGGGCAACAACTCGTTACCGCGTAGCATAAGCCCAACAGATTTATGGCAGCCGGCCTCTTAACTCTCACTGCTGCATATCATTTCCTATTACAAAAGTAAATTTTTACTCTTAGTACAAGTCTAGTATAATATATAAATCCTATCAGATTATTAAAATACGCAATGATTAAAAACTACAGATTTTTTGTTTTAAAGCTTGGCTTAGTATGTACAGTTTTACGATGTCATAAATAATTCGCTGTGTTTACATTGCACAATGAATAATCATGTATGTTCATGTTCTATTGAGCATTTTAATATGGTATCAGCTATTCCGTTACACGTTCTAAATGACTATACAACGAGGTAAAACCAACACGTGTTGCCAACATAAATATACATTTATCATGGATTAAAAGTGACACGCGAACTTGCAACACTCAGCTGGGATGCAGTCAGCTTCCGCACTAAATTATTCTAGATCTTAATAGTTTTCTACATAAATCACATATGAACATTGAATGACATTATACATGAAGACATATCATTTTATAGGACAACACGAATACAAAACAAAGTTATTTTTTTAATATTACGATTCTTTCAAGATTTAAAGCATTTAGATTTTAAAAACGATCGATAAGAATAATCGCAATGGGTCATGGCACAAAATTGTAATTGAGTGTTTAAAATCTACAGTTGAGTACTATTCTTAATAAATATAAACTTACGTTCATCTAAAATAAGTCACATCACTGGTACCCATATATACTGTAACTGAAAATGCAGTATTAAACGTGACAGAGATTTTTTAATTTATTTTAACAGTCTGCTCTACAATTAGTGACAAACGAAAATTGAGAACGGTGCCGTAAAAGCGTGAAGCGGATAAGAGACAATTACCGGCTTCTAGGAAAAGTGTGAGGTAAATAAAGAGTACACGTGCCCAGTCATTATTAAGGCGAAATAGCACTGACGTACAATACACGGTACTGAACTGGCCCACGCATCCACGCAGCCGGTGGTCGTGTTCAAAAACACTTGCCACTGGCAACAATTGTTTAACTAATTTAAAAAGTATTATTTTTTATACATTTTCCTCATACGAACATTCATATTAACTAACCTCGAATTAAATAAATGTGGTTAGGTAAAATAATTCTTATTCTCCTTTTACAAAAACTATTTGTAATAGAAAAAATGTATGGAAAACCTACACAATGTTATATATTAATGGAACAGCCTTAAGGTAAACAGAAAACACGAGTGTTATTGACATATATCTTTTCCACCTTCCATACGCCTACTCGCCTACGAAGCCTTGTTATTATTTGCTTCAGTAAATAAGAGCTAAATAACAACCCATAATTACCTCACGAAATGCTAAAAAGGGCAGATGTGTGGTAAAAAAAATACACAAAGAACATACAATTGTAAAGACGTACTGTCGAGATGGAATCGAGGAAACTTAAAATTACCATCACGAGAGAATTGGAATTCAAAGGTTTTAAAGTAATAAAAGTATGGACTTGTAACTTATTCTTATTCAATCTACATGAAGAGCTACATACGGGATTTAGAGGATACAGTGTATGACATTCTCAGACCACTGACCTATTAAGCACGACCACAGACATTATAAAAACAACTCCGCATATAATTGAGGATTTCAACCTAAAGTTGCACTTCAACGGTCAGTGTTACACAATTAAGTCTCAGAGTAATGACAACCTGTCGTATTTGTGACACTGTGAACTCATTTCAAACGAAACCGGCACATACTCCGGCCCTGGTTCCCGGGGTCATGCAAATTAAGAAGCACGAAGTTATAAACACGTCGCAACGCTAACTACTTCTCGGAACCTTGTGAAGTGCGTGATGATTTTATACTTTGCAATTTAGCAAGTTAAAACAAGTGGATAATGATATAACCCACCACGGCCCGCCGGCGAACGCCTTACAAGCTTCATATCGCAAACGTTCTGAGTCACGCAAATAAATCCACTCGTCACACGTCACTTACCTATATCAATTTTGAAGCTGCTCTCATCATAAACACAAACAGCCTTACAAATAAACGCGGTATAAAGTTAAACTTAGGAATAAACTGGGTATAAGCTGTTTTTACCGCGTTTATTTGTAAGGCTGTAAATGTTCTTATAAGTAGAATTTTAGAGCTAACAACGCACAGATGGTTCAGGATCTTATTAGATTTGTAATTTCATTTTCCTTCCCTTGGATTCATAGTTTTGTTATGTTTCAATTAAAACTCTGGTAATTAAAACAAAACTATCAATAAAGTTGGACCGAATGTAAAGTTAAAGTGTAAAAATCCGTGTAAGATTTTCATACTTATATTATTATAATGTACCTTGATATGTTGGCCGTTTTAATTTGCCCTTTGTACCTCTTGCCATTTAATCACTGACTCACAAACATACTAAACAAGTTTTTATATCATGTTAGCAAATCGATGTCTATCAATAAAACAAAGATTCAATAAAGTATTAATTTGATAAAACTCAAATTATCTTTTCATTCAAATACTTGTGGCCCGCGGTTTTGAATGATCCAAGCAACGAGTATTATATATCAAATGAATATAATTCAATCGCTATTGTATTTAAAAGGTAAACACTAATTACTTTACTTATAATTAATAAAAATTCTTGTTATTATGCACTGCATAATTGCAAAGATGAATAATAAAACTACGTAACTTTTCTTACTAATCAAATTATTGTAAGTACTAGTCATAAAAATACATATAAATGTAAAGAAAAAACGAGTTTCCTGCTTTGCGTACGTATATAGGAATTTCTACGAAGTAATATTCATTTGAAAACATAATTCGTTCACCATACAGTCCTAGAATTTAGTATAATTTTCATCAAAGACGAGAAGATTAGAAAGTACATTTAGGATCTGCGACGGAAACTTTCTACAGAAGTTTACGGTAAGATTAGGCTACGTACAGAGTGAATTTTAAAGATACCTATTCGCACTACGATCTTGATTAAATGTAGTGAAATACGATACCAATATTTGAACATTACATACTAAGAGCCATATCGATGTAGTTCGAACAAACAATTGGTTTCACATGAATTTCCCTACATGAAGCAGCAGTACGCCTTGCGATTAAATTCAATAAACAAACGTAGGTATATGTAATGATAGGTTGCAATGGGGAGAGGTCGGCTCGCAGCGACAGCCTCCAGTTCTACGAAACAACACTACAGTTGCAATCGAGATCATGCCTTATTACCGACGCAGTTACGCCTATACGTCCGACAAGCATTATACCGATCGATACCGCAACAAATGTACATGATGCATACGTCTACTGCCAGACGAGATGACTTTGTGTCTATGGTATATACAACTGCTCTTGATACTGTGTAAATTGAAAACATTAGCAGTCAAAATACATTCAATCGTTATTAAAAACTTAGTTCATTATATTCGTCGTTCGCCAATCTTTTATGAAAACGTTATTCAAAAAGAATTTAAGCGATTGTCGTTGTCGAAATCGGGTAGCGGGACGTCGAGTGATTTCGGATCACGAGGTTGTTTCTCCGAATTACTTTTTACCGCGACTTACTCATTACATTTTAACAAACAACCATATTCGCAAAAAAGGTTTGTATTTAACTTTCAACTGGCGACAATATTCTTTACATAAAATAAAATGTATAAAAATACTAAAGAATGAAACTTGCACATCGATGAAAAGATCGTGTATAAAAACTTGTTTTACATCTGAATAAAAGTACATTCAATACCAACTTTTTAATCGAACATTGCATATAAACACAGGTGTGACATCGCAGGGCATTGCCGTTTGAGAATCAAACGCTATTATAATTTTATCCGCGAATACAATGCTCAAATATTTCAAGTGGTCATTTTTATCCACACCTGCGCATCGTATAGGTATTTAAACATGGCGGCGACGGGCCGTGATTGAAATATAGATAAGAATCGCTCACCATTCGATACTCCTGTAGCCTTTGACGCAACAATGGATGCTCTTGAACTTGTCCTGGAAGCCGTACTCGAAGGAGACAGGCTCCTTGGTAAATTGCATCCACGTGGTGTTGGTGCGCAGCGTGTCCGTGGCGCAGTAGCCAGCGCCGAGCGCGCATGGCAACAGCGCTGCCACCGCCGCCAGCGACAACGCAACCCACATACTGAAGCCAAGTATCCTGCAACAAAGAAAGAAATATTCATTAAATCAAATAAATCCAACCCACCAACATTACCCCCCTTACAAGATAGTGAATCAACAGCTAACTCGTCAAAATCTGTTTAGACGTTTATCGTTCGGGAACTCACTTTGGAATGTACAAAAAATAAACGTGTGACCTATGAATCTTCCGGGAAATTTTTATCCAACGTATCACATTATTAGTGTCCATAACGACTAAGAAAAACATAAACTCATTAATTTTATCGTTAAACATGTATTAAATTTACTTAGCACTAACTGTTCCCATGCGGCTTCATCCGCAGGTAATTATAAAACTTTATTTAATCGTTAACATTTGTCAAATTATCAATTGCAAATGTCAAAATGACATGACGACAATCTTGCTTCCTTGATGTTAGTAGTAACTTATGGTCTCTTTCCTACATTGTGGTTTTGTCCAATTTATTTACCGACTAAGTTCAATAGCGTGAAAATATATAACCTAAAGCGTGAAGTCAGTGTTGGGCTTTTTATTAAAAAAAAATATTCAAAAATCTGCTGTGATTGCGGACATCTTAGGCAACAAAGAAGTGTGTTTACGCTTTATTATAATAGTATAGAAGTATAGATAGTATAGATTTTTTATATAAATAAATAACTTTTATATTAAGAGCAATATTTGCTTCAATCGCAGTCGAGAACACTAATTGCAATCAGCTTTGATTCGAGTTCACTGAATTCGATGTGTAATATGTATGGATACATATGAAGGAATAAAAATTTTCTTTGTAAAGCAAAACATGTATGAAAAACTCCTTTTAGATGAATGAATATACGGGAAATTTCTTTGAACTATAGTAAAAGAATACATTAATTAAGGATTACGATGTAGAGCAATAATATTATAGATGATAAATTTTCTATACATCGTTATTTCGTCCTCAAGAACCTTAATATAACAGTTGAAAAAAACGCCTTAAGTATTATTCAAAACAATTACTCCGATCGTCAAAGGAAAGCGAACAATTAGCTAAGCGCTTCAAATAAAAGCGGGTAGATGTTAAATATTTTAAAAAGTATTCTTTAAGTTTTAATTACAGTTAATCTAGCTTTAAAACTCAATACTCCAGCTAATATTAATACTTGAAGACAATAGAGCTCCGGTATATTAGCATTACAATAGATTCATGCTTTGAAGATTAAAGTATTGTAGTACCCACTACGAATTGCTGCAAGTTCCTTGTAACGCCACTAGGGCTGTCAACTGATATTTCAATGACAATTCTACAGGAAATGTTTTATAAGTTTAACATAAAGTGTTCTATTATAAATGCCTATGTAATCTTCGTCTATATAATTTTACATTGTAACATGTAATATAAATATAAACACTCTACTCTTAAGTCAAAGTTGAACAGACTCTATTTATATAAAACATATCAATTACTTTAATATAAGTGTAAAGAATGAGACTATGTTTTAACTTTTAACTGTGTCGACAATGGAAACCCACCCTTATGTTCGATTTATGTAATTTTGTTTATATGAGATACTATTTGTATTGCAGCCAACCCTAATCTTTAATTACGTGTCACAATAGACTATTGATAGCAAATGTCCGAACTTTATATTTCAGTTGAATTGTTTTGCTGACTAACGATTCCAACAATCCGGTAAGTGTTGCAAAATAAAAATATCAATTGCTTACAACATTCGATATTAGTATGAATAGATATAATATTCGCATATATAAAAACAATAAAAATAGGCCATTTTACTGTTTATGTAGTTATAATGTTATTTATCGTCTGTTAATTATTTATGTGTTTCCGAAAATCCTTTTTTTATTAATTCATGTGTTTCCGTAAATCTTTAATCAGATTGAGTTGAAACTGGTAACTGGAAGGTCTAAAGAAGGCCGTAAATATTTCTAAAGCCCAAAATCTATTTGTTGTTCAAAAATGATTTACGTTACAATGCAAAGGCTGTTGGACTCAGCTTATGTGAAATTTATATGTACGAATATATCATTTATTCGGAGCGAGATTACATTCAAAGGATTCATCTCTGTGAGCTTCCATTTACGCTGAATTTAGTATTGATTCTTCAGCTGTTATCAGAATCCGTAATCCCATACATGATACGCAAAATAATATTTTTGGAAATCTCAATTTAACATAAAAAAGGGCAAACAAAATACTACTTTTATACAATAATTGCAATAAAGTTTATTTACATAGAGAACATTTAAAGAAAACAATTTTGTTTTTCATGTATTAAACCTACTTATATTATAAATGTGAATATTTTGATGCTTGGATGAATGTTTGTCACTACGTACATACCTCCCAAAGATTAAAGGATAAGTTATTTTTTAATTCCGCGCGGACAAAGTCGATGGCAAGATCACATCTTTCAAGCTACATTTCAATTTATTTTAGTAATTTATAAGATATCAAATAAGTAAATCAAAAAAAATTGAGGTCAATAAAAAGAAGTATGTACATATAAACATACTTTCGTAAAGTGTGTGGAATTCCATACCAAATAAATAAAAAATCCACATAGCAATACAAAGTTTTTGCTTCGACAAAAACGTGGTTAGAATTCAAATTGAATACCAACAAATATATCGCAACCTATATACATAGTAGACGGATTAGGCACAGAATGATCTGTCCTACAATTCCGCGAATAGCACTCAGTGACTAGGGCCTTAATCACTTGGAAATACCTAACGTTTTCCTTTGCATATTCGTAATGTTTTTGGAGGGCCAATTACGTAATGTGATACTGAGAAATAGTTATGGCGTTAAGCAAAAAGTAGTATCTAACTAACTTTTTTAATAGTAAACCATATCTAGATGTGTTGCGTCATATCTAAGGTGATATTTATAGAGGGCTTAGTTTAAGCAGATGCCTATTGGATTACAATCATTTACAATTGATCATGTGAAGCATTTTAACATTCTGCATAACACAGAAAACAGAATGATAGAAATCTCATATTCTTTGTAACAATGACTGCTATTATGGAAAAGCTTTTAGCCGTTCTAATTTATGAAGATTGAATTAAGATGTTTACACAATATATGCGAATTCGTTTCGACGAGTGTAGCTGAGAATTAAGGCCCTAGATGTGGACAATACCACGATTAGGTAACAAACAAATATTGAATAACTGCAAATTTTACTACACATTGTTTTTATTTAATTGTTTAAAAATTGATTCAGATCCTTTCGTTTAGTAATTTATAAGTTAAATGAATATTATGTAACATACATATTCAATATTACATATGCAAAATTCCCACAGGGAAAGATAAATTCAAATTGCTCTGACAGCGGCAAACCGCAGAATGTGAAGGGATTTTGCCACAAGCTTGAACTCTCTTGTGATACTAATATGATTACACGCACGGATAATATTATTATTTACCATACAGTAAACTAAGTTTAAATTAGTTATATCTTCAGTTGGTATTTTTTAAATATCTTATGCTGGGTTTTTGAAGTTTACATTTATTTTAACATTGCCTAGTGATTCAGTAGTTTAGGTTTAGGTTATCCTGTGTTTCAACGGAGTAAAACTCAAGTTACGTATTATGGAAACGAATTCTATGATGTTATATAGCCTTAACGAATGGTTAAAACATATCATAGTTCGGAAACCGGCCATTAGTTCAACATATCAGCTACTAGCTTCCGCCCGCGGCTATGTCCACATGGAATTAAAAAAAAAAGTGAGTAGCCTGTGTTCTTCTAGACTGTCCTATAACTGTAAAAGCTTATTTTGTTTACTTGTAGCTAAAATTAATTTAAAACGTCGTCTTCATTTACTTTCGAGAAGTACCAAGTGAATTTCAGAGAAAAAATAATTTTAATTTATTTCATAGTCAAACGCGACTTAATATAATGAGGTTTATTGAAGAGTCTATTTCTCTTCCAATCCTATGTTATTTTTGCAGAGATATAATAATCATATCAACCTTTTCATGATGTTTTAAGAAAAATGCATTTTTTATTTTTAGATGCAGCTCAAAAAATGAATTTAATGCAACTGTGGTTAAATTGAATGTATAAATTTATCGGTCACATTGCAAGCTTACCCAATACTAAAAAAATAATTATGAAAATGAATTTAAGCCATTATTGACACGAATATACTAGATATGCAAATTGTTACTTGTTATGTTATTATTTTCTAGTAATTGATGTAAGCATTATCGATTTGACTTGAAATTGAAAAATTATACAGTTGATTCGTCAATTTTGCAACAATTTATATTACAAGCATTATAAAGAAACAAACCCGTGGGGTTCTGAACCGGAAAACTACATAAAAACACGTCACTCGAGAAAATAGGTACATACATTTTTTGTTCCAGTGATAAAACAATCGAAACGATGTTTTCAGTACTAATTGCACAGAACAATTTGTCCAATATGGGATGGTTTAATACAAGGTATTGTATAATTTAATTTGTGTTACGCGATTGATTGGTAGCCGACGCGAACTTCTCGGTTGATTCGTTAAAATTAATTGGATCACTAACACGAATCGTAATTGCCGTACATTACATATCGAATAAAATATCATAATAAATAATTTATAAGAGAATAGTTTGTTACGTGCGTGATATTATCATTTTGATACTTGAAACGAAAACTTTGTGTTTTTTCAATAAAATGGCGCGAATTAACACAATTCTATTGTGTATTGAAAACATCTATCTATACTAATATTATAAAGAGGCAAGATTTGTATTTTTGTATGTATTGAAATAACTCAAAAACTAGTAGGCCGATTTCAAAGATTGTCTCACCATTAAAAAGCTACGTTATCAGTGAATAACATAGGCGATGCTTTTTGTTAGTTTTTAATTTATCGCGGGCGTAGTCAGCAACAGCTAGTTTTTAATAAAGTTTGTGAATCGAATTTCGACCAATGAGGTCCGACATTTCTATTTACACGTAGTTGATAATTCAATACGATATACGCGAATACATCTGAAGTTACTTCAATAAATAAAAATGTATTATCAAAACTGTCGTGTATAACCGTGCTATTGATTCATATCGATTTATCTTTGGACTTGTATATTCGCTACTACATTGAAGAGGGGTGTGCATTGAATTTTGAATAATGTCCTTTTCATACGTGCTAGCTGACGCAGGTAGCTCCGCGTGCCTATTGTAATGCAGACAATCGCCATGGATCCATAGAGGTGTAGCAACTTGTGCGAATTCACGATATAAAATTCAACATACAATATCTATACCAATATTATAAAGAGGAGAGATTTGTATTTCTGTATGTATTGAAATAACTCAAAAATTACTGGGCCGATTACAAAAATTCTTTCACAGGTACTAACATAGGCTACATAATTTATTATTTTTTTAATTGCGCCGGGCGAAGTCTCAAATAAGAGCTAGTATAAAATGGAAATTAATATAACGTTATTTTTATTTTTTATTCAATCCATAATTCTTAGACGATTATTCTTTTCAGGCGATTTTATAAGGAAGAACTTTATAATGATACTAGGTTTCGCCCGCGACTTCGTTCGGGTGGAAATAAAAAAACAAAAGTGTCAGCCTATGTATTCTTCCAGAGTATCCTCTACATCTATACCAAATTTCTTAGAAATTCGTCGAGCCATTTAGGTTCCAAACTCTAACAAACATCCATCCATCCATATAAACTTTCGCATTTATAAAATTGGTCTGGTTTATTAAAACCTTTTTTGACTTTCATTTATAATATTACATATACTTACATATATAACAAATAATTCTAATGCTATATTTTATTAGTATTAAACTTTGGTTAAAGATAAAGTATTTATAACACATTCGGCAGCTTCGTGTGTGAGTCAGTGCGGATTAAAGTTTTTAGATATTTATCGCTTATCATACGTTATTTGGGGAATTACCTGCATACTGAGATCTATGTACGTTAGAGCAAATAAAAACAGATATATTAAAATCTAAAGATAGATTTAATGTTATTTGTGTAGGTGGATCACATTTTAATCTTATTTAAAATAATGTTAGACTTACAGATACTAACTTAACAATAACTTCCTTTCAATAATCATGAAATACAAATTATCCAAAAGCGCCCCAATGACATATTGCATAACTGTTTTGATCAATAAAATATTTTTTCAAAATCGATCCACCGCACTTTTTGTTATCAGACAGGCATAAAATGTTGTTGAAATACTACTGATATTTTTGCATTTTGATATCTCTATAAAAGTTTTATAATGATCTCTAAAGACAAATACATGGTCAATAACTAGTCTGTATAACAAACGCGAGCAGGTAACAGACGGACTTACCTACAAGCGCGGTACTGACAGGCGTACAGGTATTCCTGCGCGTACGCAGCGAACAGCACAAGCCCTGCAATTACCGGCGACACACATAGCTGGCGGCAATTTGCCGCTCCTCCGCCAAGCTCCAGCGACCGCCTTCTCGGAAAAGCAGTTGCATCAGTGGAGCGCAGCGACGATTAAAGCGCTAATTACCAAGCCAACGTATACCACCGGACCGCACTCGTTACGCACTAATTTGCAGCATTCTACTCTCATGTAAGACTTAACGATACCTACAATTACGACCAACGTATAAGGATTACATAGTTACCGTAAGTTTCCACCGCCCAAATACCCCTACAATTTATTCTTTTTTGGATAATGAAATGACAAGAATACTGGCAGAGTAAACTGTCTGTTAATATGTTATCCCAAAATGTTAACATCATTTTCATATTGGTTTTATCTCTGACTTTACAAAGATATGATGAGTTTATGATTTAAAATCCTAGATGGCGCTATAGTCAAACTTTAACCATGGCAATAATAATATATTGTAAAATTTTACTGCTACTGTTAAATAATATTATTAAATTTACTCTTGTTAATAAATAATCTTATATAAAAAATTCTTTTTACAACCAATGGAGTAACTTGGGTGAAAATATGAAATAATTAAGGTACTAAATAACTTAAAACTTGAATAAAGAAAGATAAATTGATCTAAAACATGAAATATGGAAAACATAAAACCCTAAATTGGATAGATTATTGAATATTAAAGACGAAAAGATGAAAAATCTTTAGGACAATTTTAATTATGTTTTAAAATGTTCTTTGGTTTGATCCTATTATATTTCTAATATGTTGAATAATGTACATAACTAACATGTGCAAGACATGTTCTTAATAATGCAAATTCCTATAATTAAATGTAATATGCAAGCCTACTTTACATTTAATTATGAATATTAACCACATAGCAGTTGCATTACTAAAGGAATAATGTATTACAATAAATGTTATACTTATGAATAAATAAAGGCTTGTAATAGTTGTATTATCACTTATTAGACTATAAAACTACATTGTTTATTTTAAGATTTGTAAAAACCATTTTCCGTCTACCTTCTCTTGGATTCATAAGGCATTACTTAAGTTTCATTTTCTTAAAATGATAGATCTATAACTACACTAAAATAAATATATTCAACTTGTTCCTTGAATTATTGTTTTAAAATTAAACATTAATAGTAAATAAAGATGATTGCATGAAAAGTGACATGATCAAGAAGAGAGTGAAGACTGTGATGACAGATGATAGAGTTATTTGGAGGATGATAACCCAGTGTGCCGACCCTACGGTAGTGAAATAAGGCAGGGGAAATTGTGAAAAAAAAATATCACAAGGTATGTTAGTATTCCCAATTATTCACGAATTTCAAAAGTAGTTTAACAAATAAATCTTGATCATAAATATTTTAAACATAAAATAATTATAGTGTCTTTAAACTGTATAAAAACCAAATAGTTTTATGTAAATCTAATGAATAATTAGGGCTAAAATAATATTTAAAATGAATGAAGTAAACTTTCTTTCATAAATTTGTTTGTGTTACATGTTTTAAGTAATAATAAAAGTTTTCATTTGCTTCTAACATAAAAGAAATTACAGCAATATTGCAAAATGCTTCGTTTTTAATAAAGAAACAATAGTATGTTCACAGTATGAAATTCGTAATGTGCAAAAACTTATAAATGCTGTACAAAGAAAGAATTACTCACCGAATCCCAAGATAATAATATCCAACTTTCCAAGAAATCTACTTTTCAAACAGTACAGTTATTCGATTTGCCACAGTTAGTTCAATAACACAACACTACTTTGTATTTATTCATACTTTATTTCAAATATAGTCTTAATAATTGAAATTTAAACTAAACGCAAAAAAAAACTTTTATACATTTGTTCGAGAGAAAATACCACGCGCTTTCTCCATAAATGTGGAACGCAGACTGACTTGACAATTCACATGACAATGACAACTTACTTGACACTGACAGCTGTAGCAAAGCAAACTGCCGCCGACTGAAATATACGTTCGGAAACAGCTTAAAAATTAAATCATTGCTATATTTTTAAATATTAATCCACTTTTTGTTGCCATTACTCAGCTTAAATCGTAAGTTTTATGTTGTAAACACTGTTTACTAAACAGTTATTTTTAAGTTTTTAAATGGTCCATAAGTAAAAATTAATCGATTTTCCAAAGGAACAAATGCTTCAAAATGTGTAAAAAAAGTATAAAGATGGATATAGAATATAAATAAACATATCCACACATTCGAATCGAAGAAATATTTCATCATCGTGGTAACCTTTGTTTATTTTTTCTTTTTTACAGCAGCTTTTTTAGAATTGCGAAGATGTTTGAAAGCTCCTAGAGCACGGCGCACCATCAAGCCTCGCCACCACGACTGGATCCTCGTGGCAGCAGCTTTTGCATGTTGCTCCCGAGCTAAGCGGGCCGCTCGCTCCCTTTTGAATGTCAGCCATGCACGCATTTCGCCTGCATGTAAGTCGTACTGAAAATCCAAGTTGAAAAAAGTAGATGTTTTAAATTTAACTTTACGTACATAACCTAAGTTGAAAATTATTATTATTTTGTTCCATCACATTTATCTGCCATACATTTCTAATAGTTGTCTTTAGTATCTGTATATGAATCTTTCAACAATAGTTAGTTTTATGATTTTTATGGTAATTGAAATGCTTTACAAGTTTTTGTAATTCGAGTCTCCGAGCACTTGTCACGCGCAGTTTTTCACGTTGTTCCATCACGTGGCGACTGATCCCAGCTGTGTCCTCTGCGTACTTTATTTTCCAATGTTCTAATAATTCTTCTCGTTCCTGCAATATTTTTCAAATATCATTACATTATTTACTTCCCTGAATTACAGAAGTAAATATAAAAACAACTTATGAACCTATCTTGTTAGGGTTGTGCGTATTTTATGATCTCTTACATTTAATAACTAGTAAACTTTGAATGATCTTTTTCTTAAAAAATGTGAATATACCGAACGTTTGGGATATGGGGCAAATAGGTAGGTAGTTAGAAATGATGTTTTTATGTAACAAACTGAGTTCACCTTCGTTTGTAATTCATATGTTCGCGCTATCTCATCGTGAACGCGCCGCTCGTGGTCTGCGTTAGGTAACGGCGTCGGTTTGATTTGGAATCGAAGTTCTAGTGCTTCAGCTGCGGCACTTATCCATTTTTCTGCATAGCTAAGTTGAGCTTTTGCATTTCCGGTGGCATCCTGCGAAACAGTTTTGTATTTGTAAACTAATTCTTGTTGCGATTCTAGGGGTTTTTAATTCATTTTTTTGTGTTTTACTTACCCTAATATCGTCTTTTAAGGTAGCGATTTTTTCATCGCAGTCGTGCATTTGAATTTCCCAAAGATGTCGGTTTGTTATCAATTCATGACTAGTATTTTCAACGAATCTAAATTGAGCACAAAATAATTATTTAAAAGTTACCGAAAAATTGAATCAATGCTTTTATAATAATCGTACGTTTTTAACTGCACGTTTCTTATTTTTATCGATGCGTAACTTGTTAAACTTTTAGTTAACATTTCCACTGCTTGTTGAAGAGTTGATGGAATCCCGTTTTCCGCTATTTCCAATAAAGTCCTTCTTATTACATCTTTTACTAAATTTCTGTAAAAAAACATTGATTTGATAATATTTCATTTAAAAATATATAAAGAATACTTTCATATCAAAACTCCTTGTACATGTATTTAAAATTTTTGGTGACAGCGCCATCTTTTGAGAAATTTCCTAAACTTACCGATCTCTCGTAAGCTTATCAAGTTCTTGCTGGTAACTTTTGTCGGAAAACTCGTGTTGTTGAAAACTTCGAACAGCGCTTTTTTCTGAAACAAATTTTACTCAACAGATGGCAGTAAAGATTACTATAAAACGTTTATAACGTTTACAACTTTAATATTATTTAAAGCTTGTTAATAGTTTACTTTGCTAAGTATTCTATGGGTGACTTGGTATATGAAAACACTGGCAAGACTTAATTATTACTTATTTATGTTAATTACATTATTGAGAAAATTATGGTCGGAAACTTGTCTTTGAATGTCAAATAAATGACTTTTATTAATTCTTCACATAAGAATTAAAATGAAAGTGTACACAAGCCTTTTAACCGGTTTGTTTTAGTCTTTTAACGCATTGTTTTAGAGTAGACTTACAACATTAGCATAATTTGATATCGAAAGCACTAGTGCAACCTAACCTAATATGTGAATCTAAGAGCTTTACACGCGTGTAAACCGTAGAAAGAGTTTTACACTTTCTTGTATCATGAGTTCACAAGGCTGCACGTTTTATCAGAAGTATAAAGTTCTGCTATAACTAATTGTAATAAGTATAGTAGGCTCAATAAAATAAAATGATTTTAAAGTTAATTTATATTGTTGTCGGCAGTTAAATCGCTGCATTATGACGTTTCTGGTTTATTAAAATTGATAGAAAACTTGCCTTAAAATCAACTGATGCACTTCTAGAAAGGTTATTTAACGTGTGTGCGAGCTAGTTCAGAGAACGACAAGCTTTATAAATTGTCTTTCAATCACATCGAGTGTTTTTCTTTAAGTGATTTTGTTTGTGTTTAAAAAGGTATTTTTACTTTTACCTTAGTTTTTATGATAAACCTTTTATGGAATTAAATATGTAGGAAAAAAAAACAGTACATAGGAAAGAAAGAAGGAAAATAAATAAACGATTTGACAATACTAAAGATTATGATAACATATATTCTTAATTATTAACAATTCTAAACTATCAGAAGTAATTAAAATGTTATGTGGAAAGAGTTGTAACCTGTCGTACTCACCTAAGATTCTTATTTGAAGAAGTGACACTTCTAGTATTAAAACGAACAGTAATCCATCCATATTGCAGATCCTAGTAAACAAAAGTAACTATTTGTTTTAATATATTTTTTGACTGTCATTTGTTTCATTATCCCATTGTATTTGATCGTACCTTGAATAATCAATCGCCGAGAAATTCTTTGCAATTTACAACAGCGATAAATTTTAAGGTTTTTGTTACTGACTTCATTATTCAACGGTATTGAATACGGATATGTTTATTTTCATAGGAGTCATTAGACGATGATCTAGACAGGTAGGGGGAGGCAGTAAAACCTCTCCTGGCAACGCTCATGATTATTTCGTATATTAGACTTGATGCATATGTAAATGTAAGTATAAAACCCTATATTGAATTTCATTTATTCACTTTGAATAAACATCTTCGCTGTATCGATGATAGCGAAAAATCAAATCGTATTTCCTCTGACTTTTAGTGAACTGCGAAACGTAATAATGGAGGAACGGCGAGATTACCCGCGGGACGGCCTACAATATCACACGCTAGCAATATGTGCGCACCATCGGATCGGTTAACCCCTGCCCTAATCATAATTTTAAATTTAATAAACATATATATCGAAATAAAGAAATACAAAAATATTGAAAACATAAATGATATATTATAACGATACGATTAGGTTTCGAACATTCAAACTTGTTTAACTTAAATAATAATAATACTCAAAAATAGTACGAAAACTCTAAGTAGTCTTTCATTTTCGTTTCTGTTCTGCCGATAAATTACTTGTGTCTCAAAGAAGAACTCAACAATTCTCTACCTGGAATGATACGCGATGACAGAACTAGTCGATACCCAACAGTTCACCACACGTTTTAGAACGAATTGAGCATTTTTACGACGGACTTTCTGTACTGTACCTATATTAACATCGACTATATAGCCATACTGTATTTAATATAAATAATAAGTTTTAGCCTTTATTTCCAATACTCCTTGTTAGTTCTTATTAAATAATAAATACATTTACCTTGTCGTTTCCTCCATCACGTTTCCTTAACACTTACTACTTGAATCTTATCGAAATCTAGTATTTGTATACGTTTACGTTGAAGTGATTGTTGCTAACCGCTACCTAACTTTACGGTCTGTTCGTTGATCGATGGAATATTACCGAGCAACGCGAAATAAGCTGATAAATCGATAATTAAGAACGTTGGGTCCGTAATACAAAAAATACTTGATGATAAAATTATTGTAGCAATGCACTTCTATAAGTTGTATCGTAAAAAAGATGGCATTTATATTTAACCGTAATTTAGATCTTAATAGATAAATATTACGAGATGGGAGTCGTTAATGTAACAAATACTCCTTGGTATCTAGAAATAAATATCTAGAGAGTGTATTTTGTTGGTGTGGTAAAAGAACTTTAAACTTAAATCTTACTTACTGCGTTGGCGCAGCGACCCGAAGTGGGGCTTGGCCTCCGACACGAGAGAGCGCTAGCGTCTTAAACTTGCAAACTCTGAATTGTAAGCAACTCTATTTAATTTATTTTAAAATACTTAAATTGATTAAGTAAACAAAATGTCTTCTGGATGAAATGTGGATTGCTAGATGAACAATAGTACTCTGTGACTACCGCGAAATATTTTGGAATCGTATATCCGCATAAGCGAAGCCAAAAGTAACAGTTGTATATCTTTTTATAATTTGTTCTATAGAGTACAAGAACTGTAGCATTAATAAAATTAAAGTAACAAAAAATACATGTGCTAGTACAATAATTTTCTCTGCTGCGACCATTATAAACGTAAAATTTATGGCACTCGAGATTATTTATAGTTTGCCTGCTCCAATACACGCAGAAAAGATTTAATTTTTTTTAAATTAACGTAAAATAAAAATAAATGAGGCGTCTCCATGAAAAATCTTATAACAAGACGGTTGTTTTGTACCAAAAGTTGGTACTTGAGTAGTAGTTATTTTACATTATTACAACATTTTTGAAAAACTTTAAAAACAGTGCCGCATTTAAAAATGGAAAGAATAAACTCAATTGTTCTTTTGTTTTCCAACAAAAAATGTTACTTGGTTGAACATTTCAATGAGTAAAGTTTTACAAAGCTCTGTGAAATATCTTAAATATTTTTTTGCCAAAAATGAACTTTAATATATTAATACATTCTGAAAATACCTGTTCCAACTTCACCAAAGACCGGAAATGAATCTTTATTTTAAGGCGTATATTACAAGTGAAAATGGCCTACGAAATAAAATAGCAATTTTATGCTTTTCACTTATAAGTATTTTAACGTAAGGGCACTGATATTTACAGAGAAAATTATATAAACTTCTGCGATCTCTGTATTAAGGGGCGGATACGGCAAATTGCGCATCTTTGGAGGCATAGAACAGGATTTGTACAAAGATTTGATTCGTGATATTTTTGTATGTGTAACTTCAGTCCTTTAACTAAAGGCTCGTGGAACAGAATCACGATTGGACAAACTTTTCTCGATAGATTTATTTTTTGAAAATGTGCCTAATTAATGTATGGAATCGCATACCCAAGTATAGTGAACGTAAACGATTTAAAGACGGTGAATAAAAGCTGCTCTATGTAGTTGACTCTTAGCCCGAGGGCGCGAAGGCGCCTAAGGAGGGCGCGATGTCGCCTGCTTCACTGCGCCGTCTACGAGCGTTAATTAAAGAGGATTTAATTTAATGTGACGCCCTGGCGGCCGCGTGATTGCATTACCTCCCGGCACACTTACACCGGCTGACGGAGCGATGATTTTAAGATGGTACAATTCCTCACTTCACGACTGACCTTTGGACGATCGACAACCTTCTGCACTTTCATTTTCTGTTATGCACCAGTACCATTTCTACTTTAAACGCACAGTTACCTACATATGTACATTTGCGATAGAACCTTTCAAAACCTATATAGATAGTGAGTGTTTTTCATGATTACTTTGAAACAGATTGCCAAAATAATTTTCCTTAAATCAATTTAGAAATCTCATTTTCTTACTCGAATTTGAATCGACTTTGGTTTCATTTGACTTCTCTTAACATTACGTTTTATCCAACTTCAGCCAAATCCAATTTTGTCATGCGGTTAGCTAATTCTCATAAGGAATATTAAGGGGATGAAAGTTTGTTTTTCAAAAGACGGTGCATGCTTTTCCAGCGATGTTCTAGCCGTAACCAATAGCTTTTCTGAAGAAATGGTTCATAAACATTTTAAAAAACCAGCATTTGATTAAGATTTCGGAAACAGATTGTAGAAGACAGGAATTAATATTGTATAATTATTGTGTGCAAAATTGTAAATAATATTTTTCAGATCAATATCCAATCTTTTTTTCTGTAATGTCTATTGGAACGTTCGATATTCCCATACGAAAAATTCTGACATTTTATTGTGCACAACATTTTTTTTAAAGTTAAATAATCTTTCAAGTACATTTTATATAATCAACTTTGAAGAACATAGAGTTCCTTGTGCAATGTAAAAATGACAAAGTCTTATTTTTAATTGAATTTACAAGCTTTATATTCTGTGTACCTCCAAGCATGACGAGGCAGGTGTACGTGCTCGCAAGATTTACGAAATGAGAATAAAAATGCTTAGTCATCTTAATAATATAATACTTCGTAAATTAAACTAATTTTTTTTACAACTTATTTGAATTATTGTATTGCAAAGAAAAACACCAAATTAGTTAAGCCATATATTGTGCCAACAACTACATGCTCTTTTGACTTAATTCCTCAAGATCCTGTTGACATCAGGTCTATGTCATTTTAATAAAGCATGGTCAACCAGCATCACCAATAGAGATACGAGTAGTAACTAGTTATGGATTATTTAGAGAGATAATAAGTAGATATGTTTAGATTAGATTATGAAAATCTATTTGGAGCTTCCATGTGCATTTATGTGTTATTTTCGATATCTACTTGGATTAACTTGTTAATGTTTTTTACAGATTTATTCGTACCTTTAATTGGCGTAATGCATTGCAATGTGTGAGGGATCTAAAAGTTAATTAATGTCATCAAAGGGGTGGCCCCGAACGAAAGTTGATTGAGCTCTTTATTATACCATTCTAATTTGTAGACGGCCGCTTCACGAGTCACAGCCAACGTACAGTTGATTGAAATCAAAAACAAAAAAAATATCGTTACGTAGTTAACGATATTTTTTAGACTATAATAATTAAAAATTTTAAATCTCTTAACACATCTCTATTTTGCTCTGGTATTTTATAGGATTAATTGTAATTGAGATTTGAAATCAAAAATTACAGCGGTTTGTAGAAAACATGATTTAAAAAATACTTTATAGGATTTGTAAGAATTTAAAAAGGAAAAAAAAATCGATCAATAAGCTAACGTGTACGTTGTAAAATAAACTATACCGTCATAAAAATTATCCTGTTTCAATATCAAGTCGATGTCTTTTGCATGTATAAAAACTGCATCTTTACGACTTCTAAGACAGAATCACTGTAGAGTCATGAAAAATTAATTACTTTCGGACTTAAGCAAGATACATGGATTTATCTCGTGTTAATTAAATTTATTTTAAGAAACTAACTGTAAACCAGATGTGTTTAAACAAGATTTATTTTGAATCCGTAATTTTGAGGAGATAACTAACCAAATAAAGGAAAAACAAAAAAAAATGAGAACATTAAATATAAATTTGTACACACTACTAGTATTATAAACTAGCTGTTGCTCGCGACTTTGTCTGCCTGAAAAATAAAATGTTAGTCACTGATGAGGTAGTCTTTTAATGATGAAAGAATTTTTGAAATCGGCCCAATAGTTTTTCAATTATTTCAATACATACAACAATACAAAAATGCAAATCTTTCCTCTTTGTATGTCGTAATCTCGTATTAGTATAGATAGTAACCCCTAATTTTAGTTGAGTTATTATTAGAGAAAAAGTAAACTACTAATTATATTAGCTGCTATGTATGACTGCTATGTATTTTACAATTTTACGTAAAATGTGAAAAAGTATTAAAAAAATAGAACTTTTTTAATAACAAAGGTGACGACGGCAAGGTATTTGAGTGAGGTTATGGTTCGTTAAGCGTATTGAGTAAAGTTCGGAGGTTGTGTAACGAAATCGATGGACCATACAGCCTGCTGTAAAAGCTTTGGAGTCAAGCGTCAAAGAGAGTTTCTTATATTAAGTATACTTCGTACCTTGTATACACGACTTATGGCCGGTTTCCCAGCTACCTATTAACCATTAGTTAGTGTGTTTTCTTCGATAACTTTAAATGCGTTTCCGAACTACGTAACTTGAGTTTTATTAATGTGAAACTTAGGTCAACCTTACACTATGAATCAATAAGTAACGATTCAAGAAATGGAAACTTCAGTAACCGAATATAAGTGGTATACAATAGTATATTCATTTAAAATTATCTATACTAATATAATATTATAAAAAGGAAAACTTTGTTTGATTGTAATGAATAGGCTCAAAAACCACTGGGTCGATTTCAAAAATTCCTTCACTATTAAAAAGCTACATTAGCATTGAGTAACATAGGATACATTTTTAAATACTTTTTAATATCGCGCAGACGAAGACGCGGGCGAAAGCTAGTATTAGAAAGCTTGGTATTATCTCATTTGCAACATTTTTTCCCCGTTAATATCAAATTAATGAACCTCGCACGTTGCGAAGTATAATTTCAAAGAATTCAAGGTCAGCCTATTCATGGTTACTCTATTTGAGTGAACCTTTTCAATTACTTCAACTTAAAAGAAGCTTAAAATAGCAACTTGATGCGACTTGGCAGCATTACGCATGACTGAATAAAGCCATACATACTTATTAAAGCCAATTTACAACTTGGTGTCTACGAAGTAATAAAGTTTAATAACTTACATGCTACTCGTAGTTTTCGACTCTATTGTGTTTTATTTTATTTTTGCATCCGAATTACAGATAGTTAATATCTTTAAATTTTTACTTGAGCATAACTTGATAAAAAGTTTCTTGTGAGGTTATGTTTTCAATGTGTATTGTACAACTTTCAAAATTGCTTTAGTTTTTTTTAATTTCAAAGATGAAAAAAAGGTCTCAAAATTATCAAGAAAATCTATCAATAATTAGGAATTTTTTGACAAGACTAAATCAAAAATAAAACGCAATTTCATAGTTTAACGTTTTTATTGAACGCAATTTATAATGTCACTATACTACGCCCGACTACTATAAATACTAACAGAGATCGTTTGGAAAATAAAAATAATCAGATCTAATAGTTATATTGTACATAACCTATAAAATAACAGAACATGATATAAGCGAACAGGAATATTTTACTAATATCTTCGTTATTTATTCTTATTTTATTCTACAAATACAATTCTGCTTACACATAATAATAGTACATTTGGCACAAAAAGCGAGTATAATTTAATTAAAACATAATCATAGTTTAAATATTCGATGCAATGAAATAATTACTCGAATCATTGAAATAATCGATTTAATTATTAATAGTGTATCCTGGAGCTGGTCAGAATGCACTATTTTTTTTTAATATATTTAAAAGCAGTTTCAATAAAATCTCTACACATGAAACATTGAGATTGTAAATTTGATACGTTGATTATTAAATTTTCTATAAACATTAGTATTTTTTACTTAGAAGTTCTTTTGCTTATAATCGTATAGGAAAGTAGGACTTTTTATTGTAATTTCATTTAAATAACAGAAAATTTAAACAAATATAGAGACTTTTTTTTAATATCTAACTAACTAATATTCAACATGTAAAACATATTATTTTGTAAATAAATAAATAAAAATAATATTAGTGTAATCGGAAAGTTATTCAGGCCTGTTGTAGATGCAAGCAGAAGGGAGGCGGTTAGGGAATGCCGGATTAGTTCTCGTAGCGCGAAGGCGACTGGTTCGCCCAAAAACCT